ATATCAAATGATTTTCATTAGACTTCCCAACAGATCTTTTTCTACAAAAAGACTTTTAGGTGAGTACAGGTTGACTAAAAAAAAACTTTGCTATTTAATACTGCTTTTAAGTCAGCGAGTAAAATTACCATTATTATTATTGATTCCTTTAATTCCTAGAGGAACATAGGGCTTCAGCCGTGCGTCTCCATTGCGTTCCCTTCTCTGCTAGAGTCTTCACCTGACTCCATGTCTGCCCACACGTTTCCATCTCCTCTTCACATGACCTCCTCCAAGTCACCCTCACCCTTGCACTGACGACCAACTCGCCGCTTCCCTTTCGGGTTTCACTCGAGCAATGGCTTGTCTAGTGATGTCACTTGATGGTTTCCTAAGAGTATGGCCAATCCATCTCCATTTCTTCCTGCCTATTTGTTTCACAATTGGTTCCTGGTTCGCTCATTGTCAGAGATCTCTGTTGCTGATCTTTCCTGGCCGGCCATCTGATCTTGAGTATTGAGCGAAGACAGTTAGCTGTTAATGAAGGTCTGTAGTTTGTTTGAGATGCTGTTTATGACGCTCAGTGCAAGTCTCTGATCCGTATAGTAGCACTGACTGACTTCACATTGGAGTTGAAAATCCGGATGTTATTTTTGATGCTGAGTGCTGTTGACCTCCACACAGACTTGAGAGTAGTGAAAGCTTGTCTTGCTTTTCCGATACTTGCTTTGATATCCTCCTCAGGTCTGTCCGCCTGTAGTTGAAACGATGCTTCCCAGGTAAGTAGGTAAAAGAGGTTGTTTCTTTCAGGTTCCTCCCATTTATGCTGATCGTCATCTGTTGTTGTTGTTCTTGTTCAGGAATCTTCATTATCTCTGTTTTCTCTATGTTCACCTGAAGTCCTATCTTTGATGCTTCTTCTGCCAACTTGTTGCTTTTCGCTTGCATATCTTCCAGTTTGTGGGAAATCAGACATATGTCATCGGCGAAGTCCAGATCCTCTAATTTGTTTGTGTCAGTCCATTTTATGCCTGTTTCCTCATTGCCTTCTGTTTGTCGCATTATCCAATCGTTGTTATGAATAAATATCCTTTCCCTCTTTCAGTTGCACATACCTACGAAGCAGCTGACAGCTGGACTTGATCACTGCTATAACAGGCTTAAGAAAGGTGTCATTAGTTGGAAGTGTAACCTTACACTTATCAGTACTGACTTACTCGACCGAATTCATGTGCAGCATTTGCATATTTAAAGGTCTCTTTATTACCTAAGATCTAAATTCATCTTTTTAATGATCTATTCATCAAAACAAAGTAATTTCCTTGGTTCTGCTGTGTACCACTATCGGATGTGTTGGAAGATTCATGAAGGAAGGTGATATATCACCATCCAATAATTTGTTTCTTTTGAATCAACCCCATGATTGGACTCACTCATCCTGCAAAATCTTTGTTTGTCTTCCGAATCGTGCTCCACAGAGTTTGTGTGAAGTCAGATGATTCTGCCTGGCGGGACAGATTAAAGTAGGTAAAGTGAAGCTCAAACATGAGACTCAGTGGCTGAGAATAAAATACCTAAGTCAGCAAGCCATATATTTCATAGTTCAGATTACTCCCACGTTTCTGCATTATTAATACATCCATATTTAAAAGCATTTACACATCCAACTTACCGGCAAACTATTTTTTTCAGGGGATAAAACTACTATACGAATAAGTATCAGATAACTTCCCCTATTGTTCAAAATTGTACTATTTTATCTACTTGTTACTGTATTTTACGCAATCATAGATGAAATACTTTGCAAAACTATTTCAGAGGTGACGCAATGTCTGCCATAAATTTTACTGCCATTCCATTAACAATAGCTACTTTTTTTCAGATGAATAATTCATGCTTACCTCTGACATTTTAGCAAAACTGAACAGAGATCAAAATTACCGCTTTCACCAACATAGTTTGAAGTTTGAATTCGGGCTTATAATATATGTTATCTGTCCCTGTTTATTACCGATTGTCAAGATAATACATAATTTTTAATACTGATACTTTTTCACTTTAGATAACACTGGAAATCCGACACTATTAATTTAAATGATCCTCTAGTTATAAAATTCAATCGGCGGTAGACTTTTTCTGACCTATCTGTCGGAAGACATAAATTTACCTACGTTTAATGAGGTATCTAGAGAAGTATTCATGGATAGGCTTTTTCATTGAGAACCCTTTCTTTTTAGAAATGTTTAGCTCGTCTTCCATGGTATCAGAGTTACAAATGTGACTCTTTAAACAGCCGACAGTAGAGATGATAATTAGGAAATGTGTATTTTGAATCAAGTACCATAGTGCAAAATGCAATTCCATGTTATAACCAGTGAAATTTAATGGAAACTGGTTAATGCATGAACGACATGAGCAGATATGCGTGACATTAACAAATGATCCAATAAATAGACTTGAGTCAAGTTCTATCTTTCGAAAATAGGTTTAACATAGTGATATCTATGATATATTGTTACATACGTCTGCATAAGCACACAAACAGTTTACAAACCAGGTCTCTGTGTACAAAAGGAGATGGTCGTGACTCTGAATCTACCATGGTAATACGTTTTACTTATTATTCTACCTCTTATTATTCTTGATTCACTTAAAACTATCCTTTATCAGTAAGATTATCTTAACTCACTTCAACACTATTATTATTATTGTTATTATAACTATTACTATTGATATTACTCTGTTCGCAATTCTTGTTATATTCCCTAATGTCTAATTGTTTATCTAAGTGATGTAATCGAGGCGTAATGCAATTTATCTTAATTTTGATCTCCCATATTCTCTCTCCCCTTATCTATTTGAACATGACCTGGAAGACATTCGCACCTGTCTTTCTGTATGACCAATTCAATGTAGTTTGTTTACTTATCAGTCTTATATCTCCCAATGTAATTTCAAAAGTATGTATATATCCATGTATGTAGAGTATTCAGCTGACGAGTTCTACCGAAATTTGATAAATTCAATAAATCCTGCTTTATTAACCTTTATCGCTTGTTTTACAAATAGTTTCGTTCAGAATAGTATCGACCAGTCTGCTGTAAAGGATGTAGCTGTGGTGTCAAGCAAGAGAATGTCAGGCTTACCCCTGTATTGCTGTGTACGTGTGATAAGTATCATTTAGTCAACTCATGCATTAATTTTAATAATTAAGGTTATTTGTTTCCCAATTGTATCATCTGCACACTTGTAAAAACTAGAAGTTGTGAGGAATAGATGTTGTCGTTAAATTAGTACATTTTGTAACAGTCTTTTCTGAAATTCAATAAGAATTCTCACCCGAAATAGGAAATAACTGACGTATATTTTAAAATAGGGAAATAATGGTTGACTTTTAAAGAAAATCTGGATCATAACAAGCCTCCAGCCACAACATTTTACCAACTGACTAAAATTTTAGTCATTTCGATAAGACGGCTGTTAAGAAAGTCTTATGAGAATATTTATCATTGACATTTAGATTTTACAATGCCAGTTGTTGTATTCAAAATACAAATGTCAGAGCTTCTGTGCTTTCTTTTGTTGACCTAATTATTGACTCTAAGTGGGCAAAAATTTAATTTATTCAATTCTTCCTAATAATGAACTATTCATGCGGCTTCCACAATACAAAGAACGCTTTAGTTTCTGGTAACTTTGTATTCTTGCAGCATGTTTCATGTCGGTGTAATCTGAGTGAGAGTCATTTTCGACATTCATATTGATGACATAAGTTCACAATATTGAATTTCATTAGCCAAATACCAGATTTTAACTGACTTCATTCATACCAGGAAAGCTATGTGACAAAATTTAGAAAATACATAACTTAAATTATAAATGCCAGTAGACAGTGGCTGGACGGACACGTTTTTTTACTTTCACATTATGTTCTACAAAGTGACTGAATAGTAGCAAAAATTTACTTAACTCAAATAAGGTGGATAGTTAAAATATTCTGAAGGTGTAGTTAATAAATGTAGAAAGGGTTCAGTTGTGAACAACTACCTTGAAAAGGAGGAGGGATCAGAGCACACACTCCTGTTGTCATAATGTCTAAAAAGCGCTCTGAACATGATAGAGAGAAAGAAATACAGAGTAAGTTGTATAATACCGGTTTAAAATGGTTTACTTTGTTCCCACCGAGGCTCGAACATCATCACTCACTGAGAAATGTAGGTACATCCAACTGACGAGCCCCAAATAGGACGAAATACGCATCCTGGATTCCACTGCTAGTCACCATCCAACAATTAAATACTAATTAAATTCCCAGATATCGTCGAAGCATCTGCACAAGAAGCCGACATGTCAACCTGAGACCGAGCACTTCGGTCCAATCAATCGACAGGAAAATCTAAAATTCAATTACACTATTCTATAGTTTATATTCATGTAACACGAACAAATAAACTTTAATTTTAGTAATTTTTTAAATGATAAATAGCTTTATTTTCTACAGCGTTTATACATTGTACAAAATTTTCAGCGGAGTTTGTTGCATGGTATTTTCTCATCATCCAGGATCTTCAAATAAAATATCACGTGACAGTAGACCATGTGAAACACTTCTGCCTGAAGTGAAGCGCAAACCTAAGAATTATGATGTTCAGGAATCTCTTCTGTGAACCAAAGATACAACCCAAGAACAGTTATTTGTCGTACTGCAATAAACCCCAACACACGATTATATTTTTTCTCACGATAACTAGAAACTTGCGAATCAGCGAGTTTTAAATACATTAAATACTCGCTAGAGTATAAAACGTAATTAAAAGTCGTATTTTATCAGATTTAAACAAACTGAACGGGAGAAAATACCAATGAAATATCGATGGGACTTTTCAGTAGCCAAAATTTAAGCACGCCGCCAACACTGGCACAGTTTGGTATAATGCAAATGAAAACTGAGGCTGAAATGAAAACCTGAGTCCTGTTGAGTATCAAAAGTCAGCTACTTTTGTATTATAATAAAAGACTATATTCTATCAATATCTTATTTTTATTTGGATAATGTAATCTTCACCAATCAATCAATAAATCAATCAATCACAGGTTTCCTTGATAAGATGGTCAATCAATAGTAATTATAAATGTACCATGTACAAAATGATAAAATTCATTTTATTTTCTAGTTGATAATAAGGAAATCAACAATCAGGTATTGTTGAACATTTTCATGATAGTTTAAAAAAAAAAAGAAATCACAAAGACTAAATAAATGAAGATTTTGTACAGAAACAGATTTTTAAGAAGACATCAAACCGTTGTGTTGTGTTGTTTTTGCTAACTAGAATAAGATTGACGTTTATAACACGAGAGGAAATCACATTTGCCTTTCAAAGATTTTGCCGTCCGAAAAGATATTTATTGACAGCAGTAAGTCTCGTATTCTTCAACATGGAAGATTCAGTGAGAAGGAAATAAATCACGACGAAATAAAGAAGGCGTAGAAGTCTTGAATAATGTTCAATTAGAGAACAAGATGTTCATAGATGTATACAAATATTACAGTGATAATAATAATAAGCCGACAAGTCAATTAAATACCTGTAAAATATTAGTTAAATTGTATAAATAATAGATAATATTACATAATTATGCACATGATTATATGGCTTTATACAGTTGTAGGTAACTCTTTAATTCCTCATCATATGTAAGCATAGATAAACAACATACATATATATACAAATATATGTGTATACGATGTCCTGAATTGCACTTTTTTTTGTTTATTGAAATCCAGGCTTCATAGATGTCATCTCCGGTTCACGTGGTTCATACCTGTCAGGGAGAATGAGAATACAATACAACACAATACATCATTTTTGACTTTTTTTAATTTCAGATTATTTTACTAAAAATGTGAAAAGTTACATTCTATTTCGGGGCATAAAAATATTATAAATAATGCCACTACAACTAATGTTAATATTTATAATAAAAATAATTCAATTTTATCTTGATATCAGGGCATCGGTTGGTAATTCAGTAAGTAAATGAACACTAGGAAAGCATTAGAAATTCGCTTATCCTATTTTGAATAATCTATCACATAGTCATAGCTAAAGCACTGGCGATCCAGAAATTCAAACAAACTCTATATATTCAAAAGCAGTTCATTCGACCTCTGTCTTTACCATGGTCATCATAGACAGTCAATTTCTTTTAATAATTACTACCCTACATTGTTTTTTATCCCAAATTCTTGTTTATTTTGCTATTACTGCTCTTATATTTCCTATTTGTAATCTTGTTATTGATTACAATTTGACCCTCGACCGGAAATAGTCCTGGAACTTCACCCGTTTACTATTTATATATATATATATATATATACGAATGTACAGCCTAGTTGATGACGTAGTCGTGAAGAAAATTTTCTTCACTGTAACAGTATTTTTAATTTTTCCTATCAAACAAGTGCTTATTATCAAGAATTTTTTTAATTTTATTTTTATTATAGCTTGATTCCACACAGTATTTCGGTACAAGTATGAAATTTTCAGCCTGTGATATCGGTAGCCCAAATTTAGCAGGCCGACCATAGATATCAGGTGTCCATCGGCGGGAGATCGAACCTCAGACCATGTGCATGGTCGGCGAGAGTCCTAATGTTGTGCCACCGACGCACAAACTTCAGGTTAGACCACGGATTGAAAATTAATCTGAGGCACCCTAGTGACTGGATACAGGACGGAGTTGTCTGGAGTTCTGGTGCGAAGTCGTGACCAGTGAGGTTCATCCAGTCGGGAGTGAGGATGGATTTCCCGCCGATGACCTTGGTTGGTGCCAGTCGCGCTAAATCACGAATCAGTAGAAGTTAGAATTCATGGATGGCCATTGAATCGAGTCCCAGTGGCTGAATGGTATACGAGCCAGCTTGCCTTGTAACCGGAAGGTCCTGGGTTCGAACCCTCGTGGTGGGTGCGCACTGCTGAATAGTCCCAAACTAGGCTGACAAAAACAGCTGTCATATGATTATGAGCAATAAATTGTGCTCGAAACGTCATCAGTAAACATTACTGTATAACACTTTATCAAAACAAAATTTTACCCATAATGGAATTATACTGTATCACAGTGTACAATAAAACAGCTTTCCAGTACTCTCTATTGGTTTCCAACGGTTCTCTGACTGATATCAATCAATGGTTAACAGAAATATTAATATGCTTATAAACTACAAAGTGTGTGTATAAACTAAACTCTGTTATTCTCACATGAATTTTATCAGTCTGTGAGCAAGTATAGGCTCTTCTTAATCATTATTTATAATTATAGAATAAGCTACAAAGTCTGTGACTAAAATCTCGCCCTTCATAAATATTCCCGCTTCCTCTGCTATTGTGGCGTATGCTACTGACAGGGAATTTACTAGTAGTATATAGCCTGACGTCTTCTGCAAAAGGCTTCAGCGTTCGAGTGACTAGTTAGGTGGCAAGCAAGAAGAATGAAGAAAGTTGCGAATTATCATAGATAGCATTACTCATTCAAGTAACGTAACATGTTACAATATCAGTGTGAACAGTCAATATAAAATAGAATGGTTGTTAAATTTCTTCACCGTAAATTTTAGTCAAAAACAACACTGTCTATTCTAAGTGATAAATCTGAAACATTTGTATAAAGATCGTTGTCGAACCAAAAAAACAATAGGGGGTTCAACCAAGTGGATGTTCCATTTTCCCTTGATCAGGATATGAAACAATACCGAATAAGCGTTTCAAGTTGCCATTAAATCACAAAAATAAGTCATAGATAGATGACAATATCAAACTTATAATTTGGTATTAAGGAGGAAATTAAGTTACCATAATGTACATGTGTTTAAAAGCTCTATAAAGCTGTTTAAGTTCAATTTATAATAAAGTCTGTAGGTAACTATTCTACTTTAAAATAATGCAGGAATTAGTATTAGATGGTTGCAGGCAATCGGCAGGAAGTCTTGCTCGACCTAGGTTTCGGGCCAGTTGGCATTCGTCAGCAAGGCGTACATGCAACCTTGAGGGAGCTGATGTCCCTTCTGAGATCCGAACTTGCGTCATCCAGTGCTGCAATCAGAGGCGTTACCACTGAGCTATTCAGGCTTTCGACTGACTTCCTGTATTGGATATTTTGTTGTTGACTGGGCACCAGTTTAGTCATATCTTCGGTGCAGACTGAATTCTCTCAGTCAAGTTTGCAATAAGTTCCTTCACGGTTGCAGACACGCCTTGCTGTTGAGTGGCAACTACCGCGAAACCTAGGTTCAATGCTTCCTGCTGATTGCCTCCAACCGTCTAATAACCGCAATTCACAGTGTACCGTCACAGCGGGCCACCTCGAATGGTGGCTACATTGAAAACTTGACTGGTAGAATTCACTCTGTGCCAAAGATAGGACTAGACACATTACACTAGTAACTGACTAGTATCCAATCAACAAAAAATGCAGGAGTGAAACTAGCAAATATATGATCTTTACAGATTGACTCGAGTTTGTTTGGTGAGTTGATGTCGAGAATATAAATGATAAACCAGAATCATTATGTCTTCAGTTGAATACACTAGTTTGGAATCTAATATCCGTGCCACATAGTCAAATAAACGATTCCAGAATATAAATAATAGTCACTCATCTTTCCTATAATGTATATACTTGAAACCTGATGACTTTCGAATGCATAATAATCCACTTCTGTAAATCTGAGCTGTTCAACAGTATTAATATAGAATAAACTGTCCGATTCTAGCATTCTGAAGACTTCACTAAGATAACCTTAGCTAACATGTTTGGTTGAGATTAAACATTTGTGACTTCATGTTTTTATGTTCTGTTTCGCAATGAATATCCTTAACTCTGCTCAGAACCAATCCTAAATCATTTAAAATTGTTCCTCTTTGAAGGCAATCCCTAAATATATGTGAAAAATGTCTCGGAAATCCCAGTCGATGATGATGATGATCACGTTCATTGACTGATTTGACTCGACTAATTAGCCAGTTTACATTTAAATGGTATTTGAACTGCTTCATATTTGGGTCCATTAGGGCCACTTTTCTTACACTAATCGATTAGTATTAGACCTAGACTAACTTTTAAAAGTCTTCGGCTGCCATTTGTAAATTGTTTTAACTTTTGTTTCTGCTCAGGAAGAGTACTTTTTTCATGCTCAGCTAAATGTCCCTTCAACTCCACCCTATATATGGACTTCAAGATCTAGTTTAGCATTGGGTACATGAGGGATAACCGCCTATCAGTCATAATTTGTATGCATGTACAATAAGTGTCTAACTGGAATCCACACAGGTCCTGCAGAAGGAGTGGTAATGTCCTATGTGTTACAACAATAAGAACCATTTGTGTTAGTCATTTGTCTGATGTTAGGCGCCACCAAGTGAAGGAATATTTCTCTTCATGTTTGATGTTAGTGCTGCCTAAATTTCATCTTTTAATTCCTTTAAACTGTAGTCGCTTAAAACATAGAAAAAGATTACGAAAGAGTATTGGTTGATACCACTATCAATCATTGTTCCAAATATTTATTAAGGAGGACTGCTTGTATGTGACGGTCCACCAACAAGTTTTATCTCTTGGAGTTCCACACTATCTATACACCGGGAAAACTGGAATTACTCGACACACATTCTGCTAAAGTTAGTATAGTGAATTTTTATGATTAAGTACCTCGGTTGGTAAACTTAAATGAAAAAAATTAGCAGTTTGTATTTGAGTATCTCACGAATGCAGCAAACTTCATTAACTGAAGGCGTCAGGGTTTTGGCTAATGAGAATATTTCGGTGAATTCATTTTAGGATTAAAACTTCAATATCTTTAATGTGGAGTCGGCACTGTTACTTCAAGAGAATTAGAATTTAAACTCATTGACTTCGCCTCTTAGAAGTGATATCGTAGTCAAAAGGTTTTAAAAAAAAGACAGTACCTCTAGTGGAAAGATGAACTGATAATCAATGAAGATGGTTTTGATGAATAAATGGTTCTGGAATGATTATAACAGAGAGTGAGTTATTAGGGCTTTCTGTCTGCTCACAATAAGAAGGTTGATACATTAGTTTCTTTTGCACAAAACAGATCTATGTAATCGAAAAGACAAGGGAGATGGGTGTCTCTATAATGAAGCTTACCGACGCCAATCGACTGCTGTGAAATACATAGGGAAGTACAGTTTTTGACCAAATCCACAGTGTTCCCACTTATCATAAAAACAAACAATTTATTTATGCTCTGTTAAGATTTATTAGATTCATCTTCACACTTATATTATTATTAATTTATTGTTCCCTTGGGTTCCTAGTGGAACATAGGGCTTCAACTACACGTCTCCACTTGCTTCTGTCTTCTGCTGTGCTTTTCACCTGCGTCCATGTTAATCCATACTGTTTCAACTCCTCTTCACATGATCTCCTCCATGTCACCCTTGGACGTCCCACTCGCCGCTTCCCTTTTGGGTTCCACTCGATCACTGGCTTGACGCGCGATGTCACCCAACGGCCTCCTCAGCGAGTGTCCAATCCATCTCCACTTTCTCCTGCGTATTTGTTGAGCGATTGGTTCTTGTTTTGTTTGTTCCCATAGTTTCTTGTTGGGACATTCGTTATTTCATTTATTGTTTTACTAAATTCTTGAGAAAAGAAATTATTACTCTCTTTATTATAGTAGGTTGAAGGTATCTGATATACTGCCAGCCATATCCAGAACATTGGCTTATAAATAAACTAGAATTCAGTCAAAATTATACCAGTATGTATAAGCGGATTAACAGTAAATTAGCTACCGTTAGACGACAACAAATGACATCAACTTTTTAATAAATCAACAATTCATGCCAAAGGAATCTGCAACTAAAACAACCCACTTTAATCTTTATTAATTAAGAAAAAAGTGTTATTTTTCTGAGGAAAAATGAATAGATTATATCTAACCGATAGAGATATGCATCGATGTCTAACAAAGATAACACTTAAGTGTAACTTTTTTTTCTTTTTTGTTGCCTCCTATGGTTTTGGACAAGATTTATTGGTCATGATTTTGTCCAGCACAGTTTACTAACGTGTAATTAATTTGCATTTTTAGCTATGCTATGTTGTATCAGTATTGTGATTGACTAGATACTTTTTTGGTCATCTGAGAAAAATGTTTGCTTACAGTAGATTGATTAAAGTAGTTTCTATAATGATCTTTAGAAAGGAACCTTATAATATACCTTAGATGCTAATAGGTATAAAAATCTTTGCAGTTGCATAAACAAATATAATGATGGGGGAGTGAAGTGACGTCCCATAGTATGATTAAAAGAGTTTAGCATTATGTAGTAATAAAGCGAAAGACTAGTAGAGGTTCAGAAGTATTAGGATGTATATTTAGCATCCGATTGTCTTATAAAGCAAGAAGTATTATTCTCTACACAACATATGATGCCACCTCGACTGAAAGATGAAGTACCTAGACTAGCCACTTCAAATTGTATCTATCAATTCAACTGCGCTTGTGATGGAGCGAGTTATATTGGCCGTTGCTCTAGGAACTTGATTTTTCGTGCTCACTCGAGAACATATCCCACTATGGCTAAATAAAGGTGTAGTTAAAACTATTAACAGCTCGACATTAGACCATCTGGTGCAAACCGGTCACAAAGCCAGCGTAGACGAATCCTTCTCTATAATATACCGGGTGCCTAACAAATTGCCAAAATCGTCAAAGCACCGCATGCTCCAAACAGCAGAGGCCATTGCAATTCGCCTCAAACAACCAGTGCTCTGTGTTCAGAAGAAACAAGTCCAGCCCCTACTACTATTGCCCTGGCCTCCAGTAGAAACTATGAACTCATGAATTTGTAATATTATCTTCCTAATTCTTCTGACATTCAGGTTATTCTATGTTGATGCTGTTCAGCTGTAATCTATTAATATTATTGATTTGATGTTATTCAAACATGAATGTCGTTCATAAGACTAATTCATTCATTCATTATAATGTATATATAATTGTAGGGCCTAATGATGAATTTATCGAAAAGAGTACTCTTTGTTCAGTGTTCATTCTTTTGAAAAGCAAGAAGTCTTGAAGTTTTGAAGACCTTTGAACCACTGACAAGTGTTTGATGTAAGAGCTAAAATGACTGCATACCTTTCACCTACACAGGGTATGACTGCATAATAGTACACCAGAATAAGGTATCTGTAAGATAAGGTCTTGTATTTTAGTTATTTTCATAAGATCACTGTAACTTCTAGTCTAATCTAGTCTCATTTCAAATCAATGATTTAATGAATGAAATTTTTTTGAAAAAAAACAACAACAAACAAAACAGACCTGTACAGATTAAAACAACAATTTAAAACAGACTAGTCATCGAAATAGGATACTTTCACCAGTCACATTTTTGCATAAATTAATGAGTTGTGTGTATTGGTTTATGTAAGTGCAACAGTGAACAAGAGACATTGTAACCTTAACTACAGTAGTGTATGTTGCATCTTTTTACAAGATAAAAGTCACTATATGTAAAATGCTAATGTGAATTCAAGGTTCGGCTGCTTCACATATTTTTTCGTGATATGATTCAATGTTCCATGACATTTTTGTACACTTCAGTATGTATATGAATTTATGAATTTATTTCGTCTAATTTCAATTACATATTATTTTTAGGTATTCATAAGAAGGTTTAACCCCCCCCCCCCCATCAGTCTTTTCAAAGGGGTGCTGTAAAGTAAAGTAAGTATTCAAGTTAAGTAACCTCCAGAAAGGCATAAATATTAGGGCTATACTTATCCAGCTCTCAAAGATCATCAGTATGTCTCCTACCTCCTAGGGTGCATATGTAGTGTACATTGAACCCTTGAACTTTGGTTTGAACGCACTCACCCGACTTCCTCTGTCGATTCGTGACTCTCCTGTACGGTTTTGGTTCGCTCTCTCGTTGTGCTTTCATCCAGCACACTCTCTGAGCCTACCACCATCAAGACTGCAGATAAGTGTATAACCTCTTATTTTTTTATCAAATTTCATATCTCTTTTGTGTTAAAATAACTCTGTTCCAGTCACACTTGCCATCTCAAGTCTTTTTACCTCGATTCCGTTCGTTAGTATTTGCACATTAGGCAAAGTACAGCTAAGTTCATAAAGCGGTGAAGTTTTTGTAAGAATGGTTAATTTAGGTCTAAGTTAAGCCAAGTCTAACTCTTACACATACGTCCTAATAGTGATAATAATTCATCTTAAGAACTGTAGAAATTTTACACACCAAAGACTTGTATATTTTGCCAATTAAACTAAACCTTACAATGTACACATAAAAATTAGGTCTAAACATTTCCATTTGCATAGGTGGTTCAGTGGTACAACACTCGCCAACTCACCCACCTCCTTTATCTCTGTTAGCCAACAGCAAGTCTGCAAAGGAAGGAGGGTCGGGCAACTCCGCCGCGTAAAAGGAACACCTCTATTGAGATTTCAAAGCTGCAGCTTGAAGCTTTATTGTTCCAATGGAGACTCAAAGGCATGAAATAAGTACTTATGATAAGACTTTAATTGTTTATTATGTAATTGGGCATTAAAATATGCTGAAATGATTCTTGAATATTAGTATTTAATTGGTGGATGGTGACTAGCAATGGAATCCAGGATGCGCATTTCGTCCTATTTGGGACTCGTCAGCTGGATGTACCTGCATTTCTCACCAGTTAAATACTAATTAAATGCCCAGACATCGTCGAAGCATCTGCTCAAGAAGCCGACATGTCAACCTGAGACCGAGCACTTCGGTCCAATCAATCAACGGGAAAATCCAAAATTCAATTAGATTCTTGAATATCTTTTAAACATTTATCTAATGGCAATTTCATTTCTTTTTGTTTCCATGTTATCAATTAATTACAACGCCTAGGTGAGACTAATTACGTTCAGTAGAGTGATCAATTAACTAAATAGTTGATGCTTATTATCCAACAGTTTTTTAATAAACAAAATGAGCTGAAATCAGATTAAAATGAAAGTGAACAATTTACACTGTGAATTGCTACTGATGTAGACTTTATCGAAAAAGGAACCTGACATATGACGTCATCACGGTTAGAGTTAAGAAAAGATGTCTGGTAAAATCGAACATAAATCAGGTCAACAGGACAAATTCTTGTAGTGAAATGTTCTTCACGCCAGTCAGCGTGGTAGTCGCTTAATTTTTCCAGTTTCGATTTCGATTTTTTGGTTTTGCCTGTTCTACGAATATTATAGCATGAAATAACTCCCATACCATTTTGGATTCTATTTTATTTATTCAACAAATTAGCTGGTCTGGCTTTTTATTTATTGGTAATAAAAAGATAAGTTCTACCGCAGATAAGGAAAGTTCAGCAGACGATTTCGCTAGAATATTCATATTCTCGACTATAGATGCTTCGTTTGATGCCTATTACCAGGTATTATTCAGTTATACTTTCAATTCCAAACTTATGGCTTGCATAGGACAAAAGCTTTTAGATGTTTGTCCTAAACACCGTCAGAAAGGTGAAGTTGTAATAAAACCAAAAGTAGTATTGAAACATCGAATCATTACGCTTATAAAGTGAAAAAAATGACAGAGAATTACAGATATAAACAAACAATACATGGAAGGGTTCTCCTTCTTTTCACTTGTTACCTATTTTTATGTCCAGAAGCGTTGGTGGCACAGAGGTAGAATGCTCGCCAACTACGCATGTGGTTCAGGGTTCGATCCCCTTCTACCGACACACTCCTTTACCTCATTAAGCCGGTAATAAGACTGGTGACGAGGGAAGGTTTGGCATGAGGTTAGCAACCCCATCCCATAGAAATAAACACCACTGCTACAGAAACTTCAAGCCTCTAGCTTGAAGCCCAATGTTCGACTTGGAACGTAGAGGAATAGAAAAAAAAGATTAAAAATAACGTTCATAATATGCTGTCATCTTGTATGCATAATGAGTTACTAGACTTTAACTTCAGAATCAATAATCAATTAGTTGCATTAAATTATTTTTATTGATCATTGAGTTGCTAACAGTTAACGTTCAGTAATGGGACGTGTAGATTTTGCATGACATTATGCTTGATAATTAACGTCAAAAGCCTTGATAGTTGATCTCTCTGATTCAAATTATTCAATTAACTGATTAGTACAAATTATTTAACAAGGTCAGTTCATTATCTGCTAAGATATTTGAACTTACCATAAATGATCACTTGAATTTGTATTTTCAGTATCAAAATAACAATGACTCAAAGTAGTTTTCAACTGGGTTCGTTCAATACTTCTAGGTGATTGATTACTTAATCGTCTTTGATTTGAAAATTCTCTAGAAATAGGACATTTTGTCACTGTGTTGGTGTTGGAGTTTACACGTGAGCCTATATTATGTTTTGTTAATCCTGGGAAAAGTATAGTTGGATAATCAGTTGCTTTTTGAGTTGATTGGTTCAAAAAACATTGAGTAGGTGAGTAATACTGACAAGGTTTACCTGTTCCACTGACAAAAACAGGTGATTGTTGTCGTTTGTTTTCACTAGGTGGATAGTATAAATTAGTTTTATTGATGGTATAGTTATTCCAGTTGTGTTGACTAATTGGCACTTCTTTTTTACCATTCGATTGATTTCTGTGATCGGTCCCATGATTAGAATCGTGTAGATCAACTTCAACTAAAGTTCTTTGTGGTGAGATCCAAATGTTGTGTGTACTAAGAGAACTGTGTAAAGTCTGTTTTGGATAATTTGATGAGCAAAAAAGTAGAAGAAAAAGAAATAAACGGGGTTTATTAGAAAAAAGGTAGTAGGGAGAATTTCCATTAATTAATGAAGACCCTTATGCATTTCAATTTACAATCAGAACAGAAAATAACAACAAGGTTCACAATCTACCTCATTTCTACCCATAAAAACACTACACCATGATTTTTATGGAATGTAATAATACCTGGTGATGTTCACACTTCAAATTTGAAATTCACTTTTATTTTGGATATATATTTATTTGATTATAGCTAGATTCCACACAGTATTTTGGTACAAGTATGGAATTTTCAGCATGTGATGTCGGTATTTCAAATTTCGCAGGCTGACTATTGATATCAGGTGTGCATCGGCCGAGGATCGAACGTCGGCGAGCGTCCTAACCGCTGTGCCACTGACGTACATATTACAATATATATGTATATATCCGATGATGAGTTTTATACAGCTCTTTGGTAGTGAGCGTGTTTATTATCGTGCTGATAAGTTACTACTGTCTTTTTGGCAGTTTCTAGTGTCACAGTAAAGTGAAGGTCTCACGCCGCTACACTAATAATACAGTTCAGACAGTAGAATTATGTCCTAACCAATGAAGTCAAAGGACTATTATCAGATGGTTGAATCAAATTCTATTTCATATATTTATATATATCACATTGGTTTCTCGTTGGAAAACATTTGGTTATAGAGGTGCTTATTTTAATAAGCCAACACTTTCCTTCATTCGATAAATGGCGGCCTGCTTAAATCATTGGGCTACCAGAATTTCCATCCATTAAAATGCTTAACCTCTTCTGCATTTATTATTGTTTTAATCGCGCTATTATGTCAGGTGACCACTGCATGAACTCTCGCGCACATTTAATTAGCTTCCACCTAAACGCCGGGCAATTCTTGTGGGAAATAAAGAAAAAAATGTACAGAATTGGTCATCTCTTCAAATGCGACAACAGTACTTCACATGATATACTTCAGATTAATACTTTACAAGTAAATCCTGTGCTAAGGTAAAGTATCTCGGGACTAAATACGCTGAAGATTTCTATACTTTATGTTCATATATTATCTGAAATAAAGCTTTATTACTATTGCTAAAGAAATTTAGTCAGGCTTATATATATATGTCACAACTAGAGTCCTACTCATTTCTCATACGAGTGAGTGGAGTGTGACTATTTGACAACTGTGCGTCTAAGCGGAAATCAAGATAGTCAGCAACTCTGTTCTGGAGCCGATTATTACTTAAGGTCATGCAGCATCAGTAGAAACTTCATTTAGAGTCAAATGTTAGGTAAGATCAAGCTGTCCAAAAGCATTTTGCTTAAATCTTCTTCATGCAGCCATAACCCTAGTAATCCATACGGAAAAATTTGAACTTTCTGTTTAGAAACGTTTCATCCAGCCTCCTTTACTACTATAGCCTTAGTGTTGATTTTATTTTCCCGATATGTTGCATAATAAATTATGTAATCTTTTTATTTATTTATTTGTAACCCATTTTCAATTCTGTGTTCTCTTGTTTCCTATCAACCATTTCCAATTGACACTGCACATTTAGGCTACTAGAATTTCCATTCATCAAAATGCTTAAACTCCTCTTCATTTCTTATTGTTTTAATCATGCAGTTATATCAGATGATCACTACACGAACTCCAGAACAAATTCAATTAGCTTTCAAAAAAACTCTGTGTAATTTTTGAAGGAAATGTACAGAATTGGTCGTTTTATCATATGCAACAATACTACGTAACATGATATACTTCAGATTGTTACTTTACGTGTAAATCCTGTATGAAGAGTTAATATATTGGAATTAAGTATCCTGAAAATTTCTGTACTATGTGTTAACATATTTTATAAAATAAAGCCTCATTACTGATGGATTTATTGTCACCTTTCCCAGTTACGTAAGATTACTCCCTATATTTCACTTGGAATTACTTTTGTTATTAAGTGACTTTTGTTGTCAATTAACATAGTGTATATATGTCATTAAATAATGGCTTTGAAGACATGTTACGAAAAGAAATTGTTTGTTATTTGTTTTTACGAGTTTGACCACGAATTGATGTCAGTTAGAGAACCACTGAAAACCAGGGAGTACTGGGAATCATAGGCAGTACAAACCAACTAGGACTGGAACCCAGGACCTTCCGGTTACAAGGCAAGCTGGCTCGTATACCATTCAGCCACTGGGACTCGATTCAATGGCCATCCCATGAATTCTAACCTCTACTGATTCGTGATTTATCGTGACCACCAACCAAACTAGGATGAAACAGCTGTCCAGTACTCCCTGGAAGTTTTCAATGGTTCTCTAACTGTTGTCAGTCCGTGATCAAACTTGTAAAAACATATTTGTTATTTATTCTTAATAGAAGATCAATCATCCTGCTACAATCAATAAATATACCCAGTCCGATCAGTTAGCTCAATCGTATAGACTGCTGCACATTCGAATCACTGCGTGGGAGTGAGTTTCATCATATTTATGCACATATCATGCTAACGAGAGCTAACAGACACGAACTAGAGATTCATAACTTTTCACAATAGCTTCAAAACACTAAGTATCAGCGTTATCGTTGCAATCATCATTTTGAAGGTGCATCTTGGGTAGTTTGAATAATGCATCGATCGAAACAAAAAGTAATAAGAAGTTATGAATCAGTCACCTTGTGAATATTAGGCATATATCCATTATTCTCTGTCGAATTAGGATGACCAGCCAGATTAATCGAACACAAAGAATTAGCTGATGACCATGATGATGAAGATGATAATGAAGGACGCTTTGAGGATTTTGACAAATGCATCATTAAATTACATTTCTGCTCATTTAATTGTTTAAACTGTTGATATTTATTCTCATTCATAGATAGACTAGTTACAAATGGTTCATAATTATTATTATTATTAATATATTTTGTCTTGTCTGATGTATCTGGTAACACATGTTGTTGTTGATGATGTCTTCTTAATAATGGATGATTATTTGAACCTCCAGGTAAACTTGAATCATTTTTGAAAATCTCTTCTTGATATATTCCATTATTTTCTGTTTGTGTAGCGATATCACATAAATACTTCCCTGTTTCACGCTCAATCGAAATAGGCGTTCGACATCTTTCTCCAACGGTTATTGATTTTGGTGCTGGAGATGATACTGATGAAGTTGAATCCTCCCTAGAAGAATAAAGTCAATCAAGTCAATTCGTTTTATCGATGTACAGGAATACATAAACAAGCTAGAATAGTCTTTATAGTCTACGGTAGTTTAATAGAAAAAAGGGAGTTCAATACAAAGTAGATTTCATGCATGATTTAACTGACTTCTAAACATTTGTCAATTATCAAAACTTCATAGTTTGACCTGAACAATTTATCGTTGAAGCTGAACGAAAGTTAGTGACAGTCTTAGAAAAGGGGATCAACAGTAGACACTATAAGAATACACTGAATGAGTTCTCCTTCATATATCAATATCAAATCAACGGATTAGAACCACTGTTAGTAGTGTCTGTGATGTTCACTCTTAAGTTGAATGCTTTTACCGACCATTTTGGTCAATCAAAGAAGAAAAGGCTAAAGTAAAACCATGACGATATACAAATGAAGTAGATGATATAAGATAGGAACTACTTAATAATAATAATAATAATAACAGTTTGCTTTATTCCAAAACAGTACTTGTGATACAGAATGGAATTCTCAGCATTTTTACTACAGTATCGCATCCGGTTAGTACATTATCAATAAATAGAATTCTACATAGATTAAGGAAATCTCAGTTCATTATGACAACAATATATTGGCATGTCGGTAGTAAAGCCGAAGTTGAACAGTGTTTGAAGGTGTTAGAAAAGTAGGTGCTGTCATATTTACTGGCGTAAGCGAGAGAAAGAAACAAAGCAGCACATAACGGAAAAAAAGAGAGAGAAAAGGAAAAGGAAGAAAGAAAATGTTGTACCTGTAAATGATATGAGTTGGAAAGACGAGATCCAGTTGTACTACTGACTATTTAAAGAATTATAGGTGTCACGCCTAATGCTTTCTTTATCACACAGAACACGAGCTAAGTAGGGTATGGTTGAGTTACTGTACTTGCTGGTGCGAGCATTTAGTTTTCTATATAGGTTTCTGGTTATTTTTAAAAAAATTTTTATATTTTTGTTTACAGCTTGATTCCACACAGTACTTTTGGTAGTAGTATGGAATTTTCAGCATGGATATCAGTAGCCCAAATTTTACAGGCCGACCATAGATATCGGGTGTGCGTCGGCAGGTAATCGAACCCCGGACCATGTGCATGGTCGGTGGGAGTCCTAACCACTGTGCCTGATGAGATGCAAGGGGAGAGTTGTGAGTGAAGAGGGTGGTGTGAGTTAGATAAAATGGATTTGGCCCATTTTTCACATGAGTCCATGTGCCTGTCAACCAAAATATTAACCAGACAAAATCCTTATCTAACATTTCCTCTTTTGCATTTTACAGTTCAGTGCAATGTGCAGTAACTCCAAATAGTCTCTGTTTCATCAAAAATTGCACTAATATATCATTAAAACAGAAAAGTGTCACCTTAAGATATCCATCGATGTTCAACTTTCATTGATACATAAGTAGGCTGAATTCTGCCTAAAATGGGGTTTCGTGATGCAGAGCACAGTGATTTCTAAAGTATAGAAAAACAAATAAATAACTTTAGAAATATATTTTACAGATAAGCTTAAAAGTAAAGGACTGTCTATAGCACTGGGTGACACAGGTTCGAATCTCAGAAGGGGTGTAAGTTCCTTAAAGGTTGCAGATACGACTTGCTGACTGGTGAGTTCCAACTACCATGAAACCTAGGTGACGTGTGGATTCCTGCCAACTGCCTTCGACCATCTAATACCAACAAAGTAAAAGTTAAATGGAGAACAGTCATAAGATAGAGTAAATTGTTTTCTTCTGAAGCAATATCATTCTAAGTGACCTCTTTTTTTCCTCATGAGACTATCTGCATTGTCAGCTGTCTAGTAATCGTTGGTTGTCACTGATTCATCGAATAACCAAGTCTACACTGAAGTTATCACCAAGCACTATCTCACAGAAATATTGACTTTGATTTGTTCATGTAACATGTACAACATAGAAAGCCGTAATGAGTACAGTATGCTGTACTTTGATTTAATAAATTATCCATTTTTACCTATGGCTATTCATTTCCAAGTTACCTCCTATATGGCACTACAAGTTAATAAGCTTAAAAGCTTACTTTCATGTTACAGAAGTATTTTATTATTTCCTCTTAACTAGCGTTTTATGTTTCCTTTGCCAAGTGTTCAATTTGTTAGGATGTGGGAAAACTAACAGTCAGACAATTTTGCGACCAGTATTAGCTAAAATCAGAATGACAGGAACAAAGCTTTTACTTTTCCTGCAATTATTATTGTCATTTCATCAGAAAAAGAAATAAAAAATAGAGACAAAAACGTTAAATTATTTATTTCCTGCAGTCTAAAACTAGCCTGGATAGTAAATGATAACTACAACCGCTGGAACAATTTGATTGGGCTTTAACTAAATAAATTGCTACTTAGGTTATTTAACTGATGATAGTTGTATTGATCCAAGTTGATGACACATGTGTGATTGCAGTTTACTCTAAGTGATCCTAATTAGTTATGCCTTAAATGACTATTATGGTGTTTATTTTCAGGTAGTTTTATGGCATATATCAAGTAACAGTAGTCTTCAAGAACTGGTACACACAGCTTAGCATCATAAAGATGCTATCAGTTCGAAAAATATAAATATGAACACCACTACAAAAACGCAATCTGTACCCTTTAGGAAACTGTGGATTTATCTGCAGTATATCTAAGCTTATCTGTTTTTTTTTTAACTGAACACAATTTTTTCAGCTTCAAAGCTTCATCCAATCTGTGTACAACTGTGAGTGAAAAAATATATTTTATAGACTCTACTTTTGCGATACAGAAGAAAATTTCACAGATTTTACGTGTGTCAGATAAGCCACGGATATTAATCGTAATGAAAAACATTTTCAGTAAGTTTGAATTACAAGCTATGAACGAAGTTTGTTGCCTAAGAGTAGACGATACTTTATAGTTACAAAGGTTGAATTCTGCTGAAAATAATTCGAACCCTTTTATTGGAGGTCAAAGGCTTAAGTTGCTGAACCACAACTCTGTGTCGATAAAGTACCAAGAACTCCTTGACCACTGAGGTAAGCCATTTTACATGGAATATACACTGGTATGTTTCTACAGAGAAAATACTTTGAATAGAAGTTGAGTAATTAATTCAGTTTAGATTTTCCCGTCGAATGATTGGACCGAAGTGCTCGGTTTGAGGCTGACGTGTCAGCTCCTATTGCAAAATTTAAATTGAATTAAATAATTAGTAAGACCCGTTGCACAAGAGGTAGCTCTCATGGTCCAAGTGGTCTAGTGGATGATGCTTTGGAGTGTGAAACTTTGGGTACTGGGCTTGAGCCTCGGTGGGAAAATCATCACTCACTGGGGAATGCAGATACTCAGCGAAGAGACTCTTTTCAACGAATTTATTATCAAGCTGTACAATCGTATATACATGGTTTTTAAGAAATTATATCCGGTGAGGGAATTAGGTCAATAGTATGAAATGCCATTAAAATATTTGTGATTATAATCATAGTTTAATGTCAAGTGACAAAATAATTAATGTCATATTTAGAATAATACATAAGGTGTATAGATTTTGGAAAGGGGTACATAATTATAGGATTAGTAGACGAATTTAGAATGTTACATAACATGGTGTGAAATTTGATAAGATAGGATTCAATATTATCAAAATAAAAATAAACAATTTTGTGTTTAGAATGACAATTGGGTCAAGTGGAAAAGATTCAGAGTGAGAATAGTAATAATAATAACAATAATAAGGGAAAAGTACATAGAATAACTAAATAAACATAATTAATAAATGTCTATCCCTCTACGGCCAAGCCAGAAGTAGGGATTGTACATACTTCTTTTGTACACAAAGGTCTGGCTTAAAGTCATGAATTGCCAAGGCCTCAGCTGTCTTTAGAAGTCTGTAACGAAGAAAACGCGGAAAGTTAGCATGGATTCTATATATTATCTTGAAATCATGGTCAGGGTTGACAGAGTGGCATGGAACGGACAGCTAACTAGTTTTTACAGTTGGGTGCTTATTTCCAGGAAAAGGAACCTAATTCATTCGCTTTGCTTTAGGATAAGGAAAATTTGTAGTTCTGATTGTGTTGATTCAGAACTTGACTTCTTAAAAGCTACACTCTCAGAAAACGGTTACCCTAACCGATTTATTGACAGCAACATGAAAGACAAGCAGTCTAAACTGGTCACCGACTCAGCTCCAAAGAAAACCTTATTCATGAACTTGGAATTCAAAGGTGATCAAGCTTCGCATATGCTCAAAAATCGTCTCTCTAAATCATTCAGTAAGACTTTCTTTGCAGCAAAATTACATATGACGTTCACCAACCGAAAGTTGTTCTCTACCTCTGTAAAAGATAAGCTCCCCCGTCTGGCCGCCTCCATGTGCATCTATCAGTTCACCTGCTCTTGTGGAGCAAGGTACATTGGCTGTAGTCAGAGGACGCTTTCCACATGAATACGAGAACATATTCCAGTATGGTTTTATAAGGGAGAAAGGAAGTGTGTACGAAGCTCTATTCTAGAACACCTGATCGACTTCTGCCACTCTGTCAACCCTGACCATGATTTCAAGATAATATATAGAATCCATGCTAACTTTCCGCGTTTTCTTCGTTACAGACTTCTAAAGACAGCTGAGGCCTTGGCAATTCATGACTTTAAGCCAGACCTTTGTGTACAAAAGAAGTATGTACAATCCCTACTTCTGCCTTGGCCGTAGAGGGATAGACATTTATTAATTATGTTTATTTAGTTATTCTATGTACTTTTCCCTTATTATTATTATTATTATTACTATTCTCACTCTGAATCTTTTCCACTTGACCCAATTGTCATTCTAAACACAAAATTGTTTATTTTTATTTTGATAATATTGAATCCTATCTTATCAAATTTCACACCATGTTATGTAACATTTTAAATTCGTCTACTAATCCTATAATTATGTACCCCTTTCCAAAATCTATACACCTTATGTATTATTCTAAATATGACATT